ACCTAGCATGACACCAGTAAGTCCATAAAGTGAAAGCTGCAGGACGCCAAATTACCCTGGTACAAAATCAATTAACACCTCTAGGGACGTTATTATTGTCACACTGAGACACCTGATATCCTTCAGGAGAGATAAGTGATTTGTGGAGATTAAAATGGTGACTGTAAAACAAACAAAACAGGCTTTAGAGCTTCATGGAAAGACATGGTCTCTCTCCAAGTGTAAGGCAGACACAGGTGTTAAGCTTGCACTGACACATGCGGTACAGTACGTCATTTTTTCTGCAGTACTTTCCAAATAATGCAGACTATCAGCCTTCCAAAATACTTTCATATTTGTATCGTTTTAATATGACATTTCTTGTGTGTGCTATAATTGCAGCAATATAGGTAGGGCAGATTGACAGCGTGATGGATTGTTGATGGTAGGATATGCTTCCCACAGCATTCCATCATGTGTAACCTTTTTCAAAAGCCATGTTCTGTATACTACAGTTTATAGGCCAGACAGACAGAAAGACAACCTCCATTATTACTCACACTCACAAAATAAATGTGAAGCACACTTAAAGCCAACTTTAACGGAAAGACATGTCCCGTAGCAAGATTGATATTCCGTTTTTTGGGGGGGTTGGTATTCAGTAATAAAATAATTATATTTGCTGAGCACGTCACGCAATTAGAGGGTTTTTTTGTATATAAAAACACTACTGCATGACAAAAATAGGCTGCTTCCATATTAGTGTCCTCTACATTCAGCCCTGGCTTTGGTGTTCAGAGGAATGAATTAGACTACTGTCCACATGATAAGACCACTACCTAATTTGCAATAATTTGGCACAACAGGCAGTCAGCTCTCCACAGCAGTCCAAAACCAAAGTTGCGTGAATATTGCATATGTTTTTCAGTCGTGCAGTGGGTACCTGCAATGGTAAAGCAGAATTTGGGAGGAGGGGGTGGAGACACTTGGCAGACACATTAATTCATTGTTGATTTCAAAATGCCAAGCAAAAAACAAGCCTCACAGAAGCACTGTTGAAATGGATGATCAATGGTTTTGTAATGATGTCCTCTAAACTGAACTTCAAGTAGGGTACATTAATTATATAATGTGATGTTTTAACGCCTCTTAATGTAGAGAGTAAGGTTATAAAATTACAGTGATACAAGGGCATGGAACCTAGATCGTTATTTTATTTTGGCACGCTTCGGAGAAAAAAAACGTAATGGAAAGCAGTTTTCAGCATCCCTTGCTGTATTTCTTTTTGCTTATTTTTTATTCAATAATTGAACTCACCAGTCACCAGTCTCAAATGTTTTATTGGAATGCCTCTATAATGATCTAAACAACGAGAAAAACTTGCATTTTTGTGCAAGTTTGTACCTGTGCAGGATCCTCTGTGTTTCTGGCCACATCAGCGTATATTTAATTAAGGTTTCCCTGTTCAACATGATCTAATGTCATTGAACAAGGATATGTTCTTTGTTAGCACTGTTCTTAGCTTTAAAATCCTCTGTGTATAAGAAACCATGGTAACAGAACAGTAGCTAAAGCCAACGAGATAATTAGAAACCCTAAGCAATTGTGTATCAGGAGGGCATAAGTTCCCATGGGTGATATCTGGAAGTCCAATAAGTTTTTTACAGTGTATTTAGCAAACAGACACGTCACATAATCACACATCTTCTGAACCACTCAGGTGTTTTAATCATCAGCACAAAACATCAGCTTTGCAAAAACTTAAATCTCTTTTTGTATCAGAATAGTGAGACCTGAAGTAAAATCTCTGAACATTTTAGTTGGTTAGGACCCTCCTGAACAGGGGCTGATGAGGATTACTAAAACAAAAACATCTATTTCAAACAGTGTGTTTGTGTAAAAACAGAGCTTCACTGACCCATAGCTGGAACAGATGTATAAGGTTCAATATACATTTGTTTCTGTTTTGATTGGTGCAAGGAAAAATCTGTAAAAATAGACGTACTTCCATATTTATTGGAGATTTAGAATGTGTCTTAATATATGACTCGCATTCCTTTTGTTAACAATTTTTTCGTAATTTGAAGTTTTTTTAAGTGAGCAGTATTGTCAGGGGTTTCATGAAAATTGTTCTATACCACTTCCAAGTGAGAAAAGAAATGAGCTCAAGTACATTGATTATATAAATGCAGTTAGCATGTTAACATCACAGGGGGAAAAGCAAATTAGGGCATTTTTATTCATCGTATATATTATATAAAAGAAGCAAGAGGTCATGTGACCTCTGGGGATAGATTTTTCTAAGAAGAGGATAAACATTTTGTTAGTAAAAAAATCATAAAAATGCAACCTTTGTTTTCACCCTTCATATCAGAGATATTGATTTGTTTACTTTGAACAGACCCTTGATACTGTTAAGATAGGAAAGATACACGCAGTCTTAAGAGGCATTCAAAGGAGAGGTTGACTCTAAATGTCTTAACGCTTGCTACAGGGGAACAGGTTTTTGCTACAGTTTTTTTTCTGCTATTGCCCAAATGGAATTCGGAGTCTGAACCAGAACTGTAGTGTTAGATCTTGAGAAATTTCCATGTGCTTTGAGAAACCCACTACAGTACATATCATTTTTATTACATTAGAAAAAATCAGAATGCATCCCAGGTAATGCACTCTTCAGATTCTATCCATCTATCCACTGCATCACTATGCTCAGTGTGTTCTAGAAACAAACACTTTTTGCTTAGTGTTTTCTGAACCACTCTTACAGCAAGCTGAAGAACCAAGATAATTGAATTTCATGCAGCTTTCTAAGAAATGGTAAAGAGTCCTGCAGACTTAAAGTAGTGTTTAGATTAAGCAGAAATTCAAACAAATGTAATGGAAAAATAGTATTTTAGACAGACTGTTTGTTAAATATACATGTAACCTTTGCTGTTACAAGATACTGTATCCAAACATGCTGTATCAAAACTGTGAATTCACACATTCATGTACTGTATGAACAGCTATTATCAGCTTTTGAATTATTATTAATGATATCAGAATGTTAAGAACATACTCTGCTGGATGACTTTAGTCAGTATGTATTTACTTTTGATACAATACTTTGTTTTGATTTTTATATTATAAAGTAAATTTTGCATCCATATCCCAAAATCAGGACAGTTATTTGTTTTACATCTGATATCTGTTTTACTAAGACAGTATCAATCTTGTTCCTTGTTGAAGGCTAATCCGACAATATTTTACCACATTACAACAGGTAAATGAAAATATAATCATCTTCAATTTAAAGCAAACATTATTCTGAAATCCCAAACTGATTAATTAGCAACCACGAAGTGTTTTTTGATTATTCACTGGTGTCTGCATAAATAAAGCACAGATAAGGTCTTACAGTGGTTATAAAAAAGAAAACATTTTTTAACTATTTTATTTGTGTTTGGGTTAATAACAACTAAAAGATCAAGCCATCTCCAACAATCATAAATAATATAATAACAACCATTAGATGGTGCTGTGCAGCTACAATACTCTGTTTACTTTCAACTGTACTACCTCAATGCTAAGTTTTTAAGTATTCAACAAAATTCAAAATAGATTCAAACAGCTGTACAATTAATCTACATTACAATGTGAAATAATACCACATGATATTAATCATGATTTAACTAGTAATAACAAAAAAGTTATTTTTCATCCCTAAGCGCTTTTGCTTCTAATACAATTGAGGATGGTTTTAAAATTATCACAATTAATTCCTCTTCACTGGCTCACTCACTTTCATTGTGGTGTCAAAATTTAGTATAATACAGAAAATAACATATGAATGAATGGAAATAGAACAATCACAATGGTGGCGGCAGGGGGATGTTTACATAAGGCTTTTTATGCAAATATGTTTAGCCTTATGAGTTCTTAGCTTGAAGTATTTATAGCACCAAACACGCAACTCCCGATGTTAAATCACAAAGAAATATGCATACGATCATGAAATGCCTTTTAAAGCAGAAGCCAAATGACGCGGCAAGAGAGAATACACATTTTAAACAGGACAAATACAGAAACCTCTGTTTTCTACAGTACATAGATTACTACCTAGGCAAATACATACAGTACTCTATGTCTAGGGTTACATGTTTGTTGCATTTAGAGTAAGGTTACATTTCTTTCTAGCCAGCTGAAGAATGACTTTTGTTGAAAACATTCTGAAATACTTTATTTTTTAATTGAACCTTGCATACAACGCATACAGACCTATTGTACACACGTCCTGTATGTACAGTTTAGTGATATACAGTATCACTACACTGTACATATATAGTATGTGTGGCCGTTTTGTTAAAATATCAGGGTGGGTTTGAGAATTGTCTTTCTAAGTGTAACAGCCAGGAATCTCCCTTCAAGAACTGTGGCTGGTTCCATCTGCCGGCCTGTCCATCAGTCGGCCCTATCCTGCTGTGCCTCTCTGACTGTGTAGAGACCTCTTTGACCCCTTGGCCACACTCCCTACTCGCATGGAGAGGAGAGACACGGTGCCAGTCTCTTCCCTCCAGACCTGCCGCGCAATAACGTGCTAATCCCACAATCAACAGAGCACATTTACACTTATTATCCCCTAAAAACCACCTTCAAATGAATTGTGTTTAATGATTACTTAAAAGAACAACTGTCAGGTTAGGTGGGATTTGAATTGATCACAAAAAGATCTCCGATAACATGGCAGTTTGGAGTTCCATTAGGCAGCACGTCAAAGTAAATAAGGTCCTCTGAAAATATCGAATGCTTTTTTTTTTGTTAAAAAAAGGAAAATGCACTTAAGATTGTAGTTTCTTATGAAGCTGATAAATCACAGGCTGAAATACAAGGCACCACTTAATACCTATATTCAATAATGAAGACTGTGATTAAACTATTACAAAGCATTATAAAAGTCTACGTGCCTGGGTTAAAAAGAGGATTAAGTTAGTAAAAGTCAACTTAAAATACTCAGTTAAAATGATGAGCCCAATGTCACTTACATGGGGTTGTTTTGTCTTTTTGATGGAAATCTTTGGATACTGATGGAGAAAGGTATCTTGTCCTTAAAAGGCTAAAAAAATAAACATAAAGAAATGCATAATGTGAAGAAAAGTAACATTGTATTTTTACTTCTAAAATTTCCAAACACTCATTCAAGGCTTATTAAAGACCACCTACACTCAGTGTTTGCTTAAATATTTTATTACAAATGTTAACTAAATTAACCACGATCTCTTAAACACCATCATTTATGTAAAATAAAACACTTTTTTTTTCCCCATTTAAGCAGCATAAAAGTTGCAAGCTACTGACAGCCTTTCTTCATGAGGGTGAGTATCACTAGGTCATCACATACAGAATATTCACAATCTCCAAACTAGCTGCACAAAACACCAGCCCACAGTTACACCTGCATAAAAAATAAAAGCTTTTAGGCTTTTTTTGTATTATGGTTTATTAAATTATTTCAGTATAATGAATTAAAAAATATCTGCTTTGTATTTAAATATGTCAAAATATACTAGATTTCATGACCATGAGAATACTAAATAAGCATAAAATCAAGAACAAAACATCAGTACTACTGGGTTTAAATGCAGTAAATGTATATTTATGAACCAGAGAAACATTTGCATTTTGTAAACAGAAAACTAAAATGATATAGTTCCTCTTACAAAAAGTATTCCAACAAATAGTCCTTCCAATCCAAGATCATATTTTTGTGACATTCACATTACTGATTTTTTCCACAGAAAATCGCAAATTAGTTTGCAAATGTACATACTGTAGGTCTATTGAAAAGATTCTTAATCATTTCTGCCTTATAAATTTCTCCTTAATGTCAGGTTTTGCACGACTTCAATTCAAGATCCAGACATTTACACATGTGCTAGCTCGGTATATTCTTGGTTTTGCTTTTGCCTGTAATTTGCCTAATATATTCCAATGTGCATAAAAAAACAGCTGTGATACAGTTTTAATATGTTCCATACACAAAACCCAGCAACCTGATGAATGTGCACAGTAATACCTCTAATTACATATTAATTATTTCAAGAAGTAATCAGTAATTGCTTATTAAGACTTGTGCTGTAAAAACATTAATGGATATTCTAACATTCTTTTGTGTATGTGTTTATGTGGAACACTTACAATATGACCTAACTAGGGATCAAATCAAGGCCCTTGGGCAGTTATCTATGAAGGTTAGACTTTATCTACACTAAAGCAAGATACCTTTTTCTCCCAGGAAAAAAATCTGAATATTAAAGCTCTATGAATTAGCATAAAAATCCCTCCAAGTCACATGTCAGAGATTTGACATTTAGCATAAAATCAGCGCTTTATGTAAAATTTCTGAAAGCATAATATGAAAAGCATATAATCACAGCTGGCTCTTACCTTGGGTATAGACTAAAAACAGAGATATATTTATTACCTTCTAATAATGATAGCTAAAACAAAGAAATGAAAATTATTCTATTTACTATCTCATTTACTACAATACATTTCAAAGTGGATTTTAAGTGGATGTTGCCATTCAATGTTAGAGGGCCATTTCCCTGGGTGTGCTGTGGTTATCTTTCACTTAATATATTCACATATACCAGAGGTGATCTTTTATGGCCTTTCAAATGCTCCCTCACAGTGGTGAGAAACTGTGACATGGCTTGACGCATTGTGTTACTCTGATTTCACTTCACAAACTGTTTGCTCTGATTGTCATTGCAACTTAAATGATGATGCTTTGGGACTTTTACTTAGAACATTGCTGAATAGGAAGTAGTGTTTCAAAACAGTTTGTAGCAGCTTGTGGACAACACTGTAGGGTTTGAAGGCTAGGCTGTTACTCCGCGCGTGCTTAAAACACACACTGATCAAACACCAAACTGTAACACTTTCTTCCCTCGCTGCTGCTCTGTCCTGGGTCCTTGAGTCTGTTGTTACAAACCCATCAAAAAGAAGCAGTCAGAGAGAACACCACAAATAACCAAGGATTAGGAAAGAGAAAACAGTTTGTTTAAGTGTTTACAAAAGATATTCTTGATTCTGCATTTCTTCACCACAAAATACTTTGAAACCACTGCACAGGGATGGTGAATATAGTATATGGTGTTAGTTTTGTACTCTGTGGAAGCTGGCCCAGACTAAACAACCCTCTTTCCTATACTTCGCTCACTTTATTTCCTACAAAAACTTTGCTCCTGCAAACCAGCTTTGTGGTATCAACCTTCCACCAAAGAAAGTGGAACACCTACAGTAAGTGAGCCTGGATTCTTGTCCTTCCCTGTCTGCTGTGTGTACCACAGTGCAGTACCTGGACCTAGTGGGCCTTCCCAGATGGAGGGCTGGAAGAGCACTCTGTGGTCTCTCAGTCCGCCCATGAGCATCTGATTCAAACACTGTGGCCTGGAGGTATCTATGTGATCTCTCTGGTCTGTAGAAAAGCTGGCCTTCAGGTGAAGTTGTCCTTGCTTTCAATGGCTTCAGGCTCTTAGGCAAGGGCTGACCTGACAGCTGCTCATCCTGAGGAGACAGAAAAGAAAACGGGAGAAAACTCCTGGCTCGCTTCAGGATTAAACTACTGCTCCACTGCTGGGAGTTCATTGTGGATTGCTCAGAAAAAGAACTGCACAGCCCTGCTTCTAGCCACGTTTGAGTGCGAGGTGTTTCTATGGTCATTTCTGCGTCTAAACCTCAGAAGAAAGAACTCTTTTTTTTCATTGAGAGGCTTAATTCCTTTATTCAATTTAGGCACATCATTATTTTAAAAAAATCCAAAACAGAGTGTTAATGTGATTGTAGCCTTTTAATGTTAGTTGCAGGTACAGTATTCTAAGTTGGGCAGAATAAAGCCTATTCGCTGTTCATTGCTATATTTCTATTATTTCTTTCTGGGATCAAACTGTACATACTAAAAGAAAACAATTATGACTTTATAGACCTCACAGGTGGCAAAGTTCCAAAATATCTGACATTATATACACTTACTGTCCACGCAATAGTTAATACGTCTGACATGAAACATATTTGCCTACAATCACAATTAGTGTTTAATCATGTGTTTGACTGATGTATCAATCACATGTTATTTCATTATACCAAACTGCTCTGTTAAACAACAGACATACTTGATATGTGTATGCAGTGTCACAGTTCAAATAAGCACTGAAGCATTTGATCAAAATCTAGTATATTTGAATTTTTGAAGTTTGTGCAAAATTGCATAACTGATGTTAACGGCATATTTGATATGAGTGTCTTGCAGAGTGTTGGCACTGGTTTGGATGTGCTTTGTTTGCGGGCCATTCAGACGAAATGCTCTGTTAAAACGCCTGTTTACATCATCAGCGTCAAAATGTTTAGACTTAGATTTGAACTTTATTTCATTTCAGTCCAAGTGCTTTGCTTTGTATATGATGTAGCCCAATTTTCTCTAAGTTTCTTTATTTTTCTTGATCAAAATTTGACTCTCTGTTGCAAGATGGATTGTATGCACAATGAAAATATAACATGCAGTTTTATTTAAGGTCCTTATTTTGTAACTAGGATTATTACAATTGTAACACTACTGTAAACATTTATGGTACATGTAAGCAATTTGAACTGGAATAGATTTTTTCAGAAACCACTTGTTGGTTGGCAAAAGAAGCTTGTTGTCAGCTACACCACAGTGTCTGAATTTTTTACGGACGTTTTAATTTCCTTTATGGAAAATCTGTTCTTCATAAAAGGACTGTTTGGAAAAAACTTGGAAAAAGTTTATTCATACCATATTTACATTCCTGCTAGTGCCTGGAAAAGGACCAAATTTAAGGACAAGCCAAAAAAACAGTCATTGGAAAACTCATTTAGAAAAGTAATCTTACTATGGGACATAAGTAGAGGAAGAATGAGAAAGGGCAAAAGGTCTGGTTTTGTGACAGGTAAATGTTTAAGAATCTAGCTGTACCATTTAGATTTTGCTGCCTAACTTTATGAAAGTGAAAAAACAACACTGGGTTATTTAGGTTTACCCAGAACAGTCTTCATCCTAAACCTAACCTAGTCCTTTCAAACTGATGGAAAATTAATTTTGCAGTTTAAAGGAACTACTTGCTGTAAATATCGAATAGGAAAAGTCTATTGTGCTATCTGTTGTGAATTAGCGAGTGGTAGTCCCTTTCAGCTGTGCCAACGCCAGGACATACAGTAATGGCTGTGAAACAGTGTCATTTGAATACATTTCAACTTTCTGCTCGGTGTATAATGTGATTTAAGGATTCCTAAGATCCATATTAAGGAGGATACCAACTATCAAGATTTTACTAAAATGTTACACATATGCAGAGATATGGAACACTATGTTTTATTGAAAATTGACTCCACTATTTTTAATTTTATCCATTAATCCATTTTTTAATTTAATCTTTCATTTAACAAGATATGTGACTTGGATGCATGCCACTGCAATTAAAAAAATTCTGAATTTTGATGTCTGTATTAAAAATGATCTATGTCTATAATATAACATATAATATAATAATAACACACAGTTGAACTGTGAAAGGAAAAAAGTAATCCAAAATCCTATATGCTTAATCTCAATGATGGGTGTAAACGCTCTATGATAACTGTAGCAAGAGAACAAAGCTGAAAGTCTGTATTTTCTCATAGGTATGTGCCTAAAATAATGCACCCAAGTGTTCCAATGGAGCCTTGTTCAAACAGAAGGATATGCCTCACACCTGGTGTTATTATTATATTTTTATTGTTAGTGTCTCTCTCCTGTCTATTTAAGCAAAATCAGCACAGACGGTGAGAAATATAACAGTATCCAGGAGTCACAGATGCTTATGAAATAGTTTAATATTCTGGAGTGACAGGACATTCTCCCAGAATGTTTCTAAAATGCGATTGAATTGACCAGTAAGCCCATCATCCCAAATGCTATAGAAATGCTTTCATGTTGTATATGTAGTAAGGCTTAAATGCTTAAATAATCATTGTTGCTGACCGTTTTGGAATACAATTTTGGAATAAAAGGCCTTCTAGAGCCGTGTCAAAAAGATAAACAAACAGCAGAGTAAAATAGTTTACAAAAGTCTGTGAATGATGATGTCAGAATAGAAGCGAATGTTCATTCCAAAAGGCAACATGTGCTTTAGGAACAAGCAGTCATTCTGATTTATGGGAATGTGAATATTAATTCGCTCTCTCTATTATAGTATCTCTGAAATGTATATACAGTATCTACTATTTTTCTGGCCAAATTTAGCTATGTTACTCAGTTGTATCCTTATAGGGACAAAGCAGCTATCCGTAATAGCTTTGACTTTGAAAGAAAGGTGTAGACAGGTGAACAGACCAATAAATACACAGGTTCAGACACTGCTAATTAAATATTGAGAATGTATTGCTTAAACTTGGTAAAGAGAAACGAAGTGACACACTTAAAGTTTTCTGCGTGAATAAATTAGACACATATAAACCACTAAATGAAATTGCTTCAGGATCATTGAAAGCACACTTCCACAATCACTGATCAACTATTTTGCGATTCCCAGCAGTGCCTTTTCTCAGCAGATGTACCTGTCAGGAGACTACAGTTACTTTGCCTTCTGTTACCTGACTAGACAACTATTTTACTGCCAGCTAGGCCAGGCAGACATTAGTCTCACAGCATTTCTTCCCTAATTTTTGTCTCTGAGCATTGAAGCAATAAGACAGCACACAGGCAATTAATAATAGATTACCAGACTGGGGCAAATCCTATTTTTTGGCAAGCCAAGACTCCGGTAGCAGACTGTCTTATTATTAGTAAGCCTCACTTAAGACAAATGAATATGGAGGGGGAGGAGGGGATGGATATTTAGATATATCATAACATGTGTATTTAAAAAATGTTCAGGAAACAGTTGTCTTTCTCACACAATAATACTGTACATCTTAGAAATTCAAAACCAACCACTTTTTCCTAATGATGCAGATTATCCTGAATGGAATAATAATTAGAGGACTGAAGCCTGTAAGGTGAAGGGAGGGAAGAGAAGTCCTACTAAATGCATCCCATTCACTGCAGCAATGCATTTGTACGTTAGTTTTTCTGCTTTTAACCAAGAACCAACTAATCCAAAGTATGTCACAGTGATTGTAAAACTCAGAACTTATATACAGTATATATTTTAAAATATTGTTTTTATAATTTGATTTGTTTTGTAGTGAAACTTTTGACTTTTAAGCTGTGTGACTGGAAGGCCGTTTGTGGAATGTGCTTGTAAATATGAGGTATGATTGAGTTTACAAGAAACAATGAAGGCAAAATTTGTTTTGTGGCCTCATATTAAATTAGCATTGATTTTTCTTCTGCCAGGCTGCGGAGGTATCAAGTCATGGAACTATTTTAACTGTGCTTATTGGATAAACGTTTACACTGAAGTCTTTGCACAGGCTGTTCGCCTCCCTGCCATTTACTATTAAATAAAAATCAATAGTGTTGAAATGTAATTTTTGGTCTACCGTTATTGAAAACCATTATGATTTCTGCCATGGCAGGATACAAAATGTCATCCCTAGGCTCTATAGCTATTTTAGTCTAAAATATATATTGAGCAAAATAGGGTCAAATAAATCCTTTCCACATTCCAGGGTGAACAAATCAGGGTCCAAGATATCTTATTGCACAGTGTTTAATTAACAGTCCATTAAAGTGAAGTTGTTTGGCAACATGTTCAGATGAAAGCAATGATCATCCTCTTAGTTTTCATGTACTAGATTTTAAAATTCCAGCATTGTAAAACTGAAATGTTGGTAAATGCATTAACAGCTAGAATCCTACAGTCAAACTACAGAGAGTGCACAGAGAAGAAAGATAGTACAAGAATATCCATTAGCGTCTCCATCAGACTTCAGGCTGCCATATTCTGATGAAAATTATTAACACAACTATTTCAATTTTTCAGACATCACTCATCTCCCCAACAGAGATGAGCTCTAATCAGCCTCTTGCTCAGCCCAAGTCTTGTGGCTAATGCACAGAAACGCAACCATAGAAGTGAGAGCTATGACAAGATAAGGTGGCTCTTCTAATAATGGATTACCTCAGCTGAGAGGCCAGGATGATGGCTGGACTTCCAGGGGCCAACAAAGCCTCCTTCACCATATTCTTGTTGACTCAAATTTGAGATATCCGCCATACAACCAAGGCAAGTAACATCAGTGCTTTTTTAATGGTCCATGCAATTATCAGGGCTAACCAGAATGCTGCGTGTGCACCACTTACTCTATAATTTTGCTAGTCTGTCATTATACTTCAAAAAGTTTTGCTAAATATGCAAAAATATGACAGCCCTCTGTGTCCCATAGGTTCAAACTAACTCAAAAACCTTGCCTTCTATCCAGCTTCCAGAGACAAACCATACATTAGTCTGAAGCTAAGATCTCATTTCTGGTTTTCTTTATAATAAACAGAAGACCTTTTTCTGCATTTTACAGGTGGGTAACTCTTCTAGTTAGTTTTTAGGAAATCGTAATTCCAGAACCAACAG